GATTTCGATAGATTTAAGTTACCTATTATAGAGGATAAACAAGAATTAGTTCTCGATAAACTTAGAAATCGAACACCAGAATTTTTGATTAAATATAGAAGCAACTTAGAAGAAAATAAGAAAACAAGAGATACAAAGACAATAGAGGTAAATTCAGTCGAAATTAAACAAGAAATTAATAATATGGTAGATCAGAATGTTGTTGAAGATATTGTTGACAAAGAAATAAAGATTATTTTGAATAGGTATAATGAAGTCTTTAAAGAAGAATTAGGTACTCTGAAAAATTTTGAAGTAGATATACGATTAGAAGAAAATTATAGGCCTAAGTTTTGCGGCATAAGAAGATTACCGTTTTCCTGGATAGAAGAGATAGATAAAGAATTAGATAAATGGTTAAAAGACGGAATAATAAAACCAATAGTGCATAGTGAATGGGCAACACCTTTAGTGCCCATAAGAAAACCAGATAACAGTTTAAGATTGTGTATAGACTATAGAGTAACAGTTAATAAGTGCGTAATAAATGAAAAGTATCCACTACCTAGAATAGAACAACTGCTAGCGAATTTAAGAGGAGACACCCTGTTTTCAAAGATTGATTTTTCGAATGCTTATTTGCAAATTAAGGTGAGTGAAAAGACAAGTAAGATACTAACGATTACAACTCATAGAGGTTTGTTTGCATTCTGCCGATTACCTTTTGGTTTGAAAATATCAGCGCCAATATTTCAAAGAACGATGACGGCGTTATTTCAAGGAATAAAAGGAATAATGTATTATTTAGATGATGTTTTGATATCTGGTAAAACAGAAGAAGAACACAATTCGAGATTAGTTAAAGTGTTAGATATTATATTAGAAAATGGTTTAAAAGCTAATTTGAAGAAGAGCGTGTTTGGAGTAAAGGAAATAAAGTATTTAGGATATGTTATAAAGGGAAATGAGATTACGCCAATTGTAAAGAATATAGATAAGATCATGAATATGCGAGCCCCGAATAATAAAACGGAGGTACAGGCGTTTTTAGGAGCAACAAATTATTATCATCGGTTTGTTCAAAATTTTGCAGAAATTGCTACACCGTTGTATGATTTATTAAAGAAAAATAAAAAGTTTGAATGGGGAGAAGCACAGGAGAAAAGTTTCGCAAAGTTGAAAATAAAGATGGTAGAGAAGCCTATTTTAAGTTGTTTTAATGAGAAATTAAATATTATTTTAGCAGTAGATGCTTCTAATGAAGGTATAGGAGGAGTGTTGTTGCAGATGATAGATAATGTGGAGAAACCTGTTTTATTTTTATCGAGACGATTTAATAGCACTGAGAAAAATCACTCAACGATAGAAAGAGAGGCTTTAGCAGTGAAATTCGGGCTTACGAAATGTAAGGAATATCTGATAGGAAAAAGGTTTTTATTGTATACGGACCATAAGTCGTTGGTAGATTTATTTAAAAAAGAGAATAAGGAACTTATGATTTCACCCAGGTTGCAAAAATGGCTAATTTTAGTTGGTAATTTCGATTTTGAAATAAAATTCAGAGAAGGTAAACAAAATTGCTCACCGGACATTTTATCAAGATTGTTTAATAAAGACATTGAAGACAAAGAACCAGTAATCAATAGTTTAGAATATATAGAAGAAGAAGAAAATGTAAATTGTAATATTATAAGAGCGGTGAGAATAGATACAAGAGAAAAACCTATAACATTTGATATAGTAGATAAGATATCCCAAAAAGATGAAGAATTAATAAGAATTAAAGCTTGTTTAAAAGGAGATATAGAATGGAAAAATGAAGATAAAGCGTTTAAAAAAGTTAAGAGTGAATTAAATATAGAAGACAATTGTTTATTGAGAGGATATAGATTAGTGATACCGAATAAATTAAGAAAAGAAACCTTAAATGTAATACATTCAGGTCATCAAGGCATAGAAAGAATGAAAAATAAAGCAAGAGAATATATGTGGTGGCCTAAGATGAATAAGGAAATAGAAGAGTTAGCAAGGAGCTGTGAAATCTGTTACATGTGGGCTAATGTTCCAGCAAAGAATAAGGAAGATAAATGGCCAAAGACAGACATTCCATGCGAAAGAATACATGTAGATTTTTTAGAATATGAGAAGAAAAGATTTTTTATCATGGTAGATGCAGGTTCAAAATGGATAGATTGTCAGCAAGTTTCAGGTTTATCAACAAGAGTAGCTTTAGACAAGATAAAGGATTTTGTAGGCAAATATGGTTTGATGAAGACGATAGTATCAGATGGAGGTCCAGCGTTTAAAGGTAGAGCATTTGATAAATTTTGTGATAGGTGGAATATTAGACATTTATTATCACCACCTTATTACCCAAGAAGCAATGGACAAGCTGAACGAATGGTAGCGTTAGTAAAGAATTGGTTGAAAAAGGCAAAATATGGAGAAGGTCAATGGTGGTTATCATTGTTAGCATACAACAGTACGGAAACAGCAAAAGGAAAGTCACCAGCTGAAATATTTTTAGGAAGAAAGACGAGATCAGAATTAGATTTTTTAAAGGAAAAAGTGATAAGGAGAGAACAAGCAGAGAGTGAAAGATTTCCAGTAGGAAGTTTGTTGTGGGTATTGTTGTTTGATGGGCCTATTAAATGGGGGAAGGGTGTAATAAGCAAAAATATAGGAAAGAAAAAGGTAGAAGTAAAGATTGAAGGACAAAAAGGAACCTTTACAAGGCACCTGAAGCAAGTAAGGTGTAGAAGCTTAAGGCCTTAGAGGAAATGAGAAATATACGAAGAATTAGAAAGGAATAAATTGATGATAGACATAGTAGGAGAATCATAATTTGGAAAGGAATAACGTGATGATAGACATAGTAGGAGAATCATACGTTGTAGGAAATAAAAGGGATGTTAGACTTAATTAGGAGAGTTATATTTTATAAAGAGTTAGAGAAGAAATTCTAACCTAGTATAGAGAAATAAGAGTCGAAGAATATATATATATATGTGTATAAAGTATTTTATTTAGATGGCCTCCTATGTTAGAGTGGGTAACAAGGTAATGAAGATAGAGATAAGAGAGGTTGACGGTTCAGAAGAATCCAACAAATGGGTAGAAGCCGCTAGGAACGAAGCGAAACAAAGATACGGAGATTGGCTACAAGAAACGCCAACGAGAGGGGGTCGCAGAATAGCGCCGTATAGCACAAGAAGGAGAGTGGAATGCTGGGCGTGCGGGGGTGAACACAAACTTAGGTTTTGCCCAAGTATAGAGTTGACAACGAATAGTAATTCGAATGAACCAGGGAGGAACATGGTAGCATCGGCAAACACGATGGAGTTAAGGGAAGTTTAAAGGGGGGAGATGTTGGATTATGCAAAGTATATTTATGGAACAAAGATAATTTAAATGATGGATTTTATTTTATGCAAAACAAATTTTACTTTTTTTTTTATAGTTTATGTAACAAGATTAATTTAAATGATGGATTTTATTTTATGCAAAACAAATTTTACATTTTTTTTTATAGTTTATGTAACAAGATTAATTTAAATGATGGATTTTATTTTATGTATTTATTTCTTCCAAAAATTATTATTTTAATATGTAAATACATATAATGTTTTATGGCTATATAAATAGCTAAGAAAAATTGTTTTTTCACACACATACAATCGGATGACATTTTGAAAATAAAATTAATAAAAAAGGAAAGAGTTAATAAAGAAAAGGTACTCAAGGAAAGATTAAACAAACCTTGGATTCTTAATTGCTCTCCCAATACTGATTAAACACCCTGAGTTAAGTTCGGATTTATAACAGTTACTTATATCAAGTAATATGTGGCGCGTCTAATGAGAAGGTAGGAACAGAAAAAAAAGGCGAATCGATAATCCGTGCAAAAATGAAATTAAAATAAGTTACCCCGAAATTGAGGATTTAAGAGTGAATTCTGATAAAATTTTATAGGGCCAAGGTTTGGGGAAAAAGATAAATCAATCAGTGCAAAGATAAAATTTATAGTTGATTATTATATTCAATTTCTATTAAAACATCACAGTGTTAAAAAACCGATTAAGATGTATTATTTTTTTATTGAATTATATTTAATAATTTGTTAGAGAAAAATTCATCTAAGGAAAGATTTTCTTTAAAGATCTATCTCATATTTTTAACCCAAGATGTAAAAATAAAACCAATATTTACATATTGGATGAAATATAACCAAGATACGAATGAATTGAAATGAGAAAGAGGCAAGTGACTATTAGGAAATAAAATATCCGATAAAGCGCTGAGGATAGCGCAAAATTTTAGCAATATGGCGCCAAATATTACTTTATCAGTTATAGTTATATTATAATAAAAATTATTTTAGTGTCTAAATAAAAATTATTATATAAAAATGTAATCTACTTTTTATTTATATTATATATTTAATAGATAGGTTAATTTTTACTTATTTATGACCTTGATTGGATAAGATAATTATTCACTAATTTTTTAAAATAACCTAGTGAAAAAATGCATTACTAAATAATATGCTATTATTTTATATCGAAATTTAAAATTCAATGTGGAATCATTAGCGTCACTAGAGGAGGGTGTCGCAGGGGCTCGAGTCTCCTAAAAAATTTGAAGAGCGCCCTCAAAATTTTGATTTTTTTATACCACTAAAAGAAAGATTATGTTAGCTAAAAAAAAGGTAGTTTTAGATTTGCTAAAAAAAAGGTAATTTTAAAAATAATTTTTGAGCCCCCTGAGATTGTAAAGGCTAGTGACGCCCCTGTGTAATTATAAATTATAAGACAAAAATCATTTTCTCAGTTGGGAATTGAAGGGAGGTTCAATATTCACCATTCACATTTTTAAAAAATAGTTCTGACAAACCACTTTTATAGCGAAAAATAAATAATTTCCGCGATCTATATCTTTAGAATTTAAAATCATACTTTTCTAACCTTAACCTAAGTACTGACTCTAGATTATATTATAAAATTATAGGAATTAAATCAAACTTATGGATAAAGAATACGACTCTTGTTTAATGTCTTCATAATCCCCAGAACCGGAGTCAACAAAGTAATCTTTATGCTTAAACTTGCAAAGAGACTCATTTTGTCTATAGACCATTAACGATTCTATATATTTTTTTCCCAAAGTAATAATATTTATAAAATATAAATATTAAATTTTAAATAGAGCTAAAGCTGACTGATCGAAAATTTTGAAAGAGAAAAAAAATTGGATTTTTAAAATAATTAATTTTATCTTTTTTCATTGCGTTATAATTTAAATATACTATATATATTTTTTTTCTATCAATCAATTTTTTTAGACACCGTTTTGTACTTTTTTAATCACCGGATAATGCTATCTTTGTTTTAAGATTGATATTTTGGCTGAGTCTCTAGTTGTGGGCCAAAAGCAAGGAGCGAAAATCTTTGGGCTCGATCAAATATTTTCTACAAGGTTGAGGCGTTTTATAGGCTTTAACTTTAGAGGAGTGTATTAAATCGACTTGAATGAAGTTATTTATTAACACTATAAAATATTTATATGTATCCTATTTACTATCTCTATGATGATATGCCAAACTTATATTTTCCATTTATTATATAAATGTCTCATTTACATCCAGCGCTCCCGTAGATATTTTGCTTATTTTAGGGGAGCTTATTTTTGATGAGCACGTTTTTTAGATGCAAAAAAGTTAAATAAAAATTTATTAAGCTCAAATTTTTATAAAAAAAAATTTTTTTTTGGTACAAAATAAGTATTTTTTTTCAATGCAATATTTATTTACATTTTATTTCATTTAAAATTTTGGCATTTATTTATATAATATAAAGATTATATTTATAAATAATTTATAAATTACAATGTAGTTACTTTTGAAATATACTATTGTAACTAGTCAAAAGTTATCTTTAAAAAATATCATAGATGTAACTTGTAACTATAACTAGTTACTTTTTCAAATGTAACCTTTAACAACATTGATCAACACTATGCTTTGTGCTTTGTTTGCTAAATTATTTAAAAATATATCATATCGACACGTTATATATTTGAAAACAATGTCAATTTTATTAAATATTGTTGAAAATAATCATATGTACAATTATAGTTAAAATATATATAAATAAAATTTAATATTTCGCAACAAGCTCATATTTATTATAAGGTCAACGATAATGTGCAGCTTTATAAGCCTACCTTCTTTTTTGTTTTTAAATTTTAGGAATTGCTATGAAAATTATAAATATATTTTTACATGAAATATATTTAAAATATTTAAATCAGAAACCTGCATATGTCTAAATTTTAGGCCCATTTTTGATCATTTTTCGGCCAGAATTTAAAGATTTGCTATTTTTAATAATTTAGCTGTATTTTGAAAACTGTTTCAAATTAAAATTGAAAATATGAGCAGTGAATGAATATTAAACCGTCCATTATATGATTTCTTTACATTTTCCAACTAATTCATTTAATTTAATTTTTTTTTAATCGGTCTGCCTTTAGACCTAGTCCTCTATTTTTATAATACCATTTTCGGGGCGTTTTGGGTCGAGTTTGTTGTAAATTGACTGAATTCCTTACTTAATTAAACTTATATGATCATTTTATTATAATTATAAAAACTATGATAGCATTATTGTGAATGAAATATCCTTGTCTCTTCATTGGTATATTTAGGAGGGGGGTGGGGGGGGGGGGGTTAACTGGCCTTTTGACCTTCACCCCGAATTTATCTATATCATAAAACTTTGAATAAATTTAAAAGAACAATGAGAAAGAACAAAATAAATTATTTGCAAGAATTTTATTTTTTAATGCCTTTTTTATTATATATAATTTTATTTTCTAAAATAATTTTAATCAAAATGAGATTTATTTAAAATCTGTTTTCCAAAATTATGAATATACTGAATACTTAATATAAGTAATTTAACTCCTATTTTTATAAAATATTTGACTTTTCCAAAATAAAATCCTAGATACGCTATTGCATCTCTTTATAGAACTTATAGATGATAATAATTGTTTAAAAATTATCTTGAAAATATCATTAAATCTTACCACACGATGGTAAAACATAGAGATGAATCAGCATAATATATCGAATATTTAACATTTATATATAGTATTCATTTAAATCCTTTCAAATAAATGGATATATTAAATAAATGATCAAAATAAAATAATATAAAACAAACACTAATAAGGAAATAAGTAATAAAAATAAAAATTTATAATTTGTAAAACTAAAGATAACATGATATTCATATCTCTGGTAAAATCCATAAATAATGAGAGGAAAGTTTTTATTTTTCTTAGTAAAATATAATCCACACTCATATCAGAGTGAAAACGAAAGGGGATAGGTTTTTGTTCTTGATTATAATCAATTTTCTTTATATCCGATTTTACTAAATATGTTTCCCTATAGAAATTCTGCATTGTTTTTTAACATTATTTGGAAATCATTCATAATTAGGACAAATTTAAATAAATATCAAAAACTAAGTGCTGATATAAGTTATTCATTCTTTTAAAGGGGGTTATAGAGAGTATCGTAGCCATAATTTATTTATGGAGGGTATGGGAGGTTAAAATCAGACTTGTTAAACCCTACTTTTAAAAGTTACGCGCTACCGCTATTGATATTTGTCAAAAAAGTGGCGCGCTACCGCAATCGTTACCCATCAAAAAAAAAGTAGCGCGTTATTGGCCTACTATTTTTTAAAAGTAGCTTTGGCTACTATTTTTTAAAAGTAGCTTACTTGGCTACTTTTTAGGCTACTTTTTATAAAAAAATTTAGAAATAAATTTGTTTAATTTTTTACTTATAATGTAATTACACAGTATATAATACATAAAATTATCATTTATAAATGTTTAAATATAGTTAGTTTTGATTATAAAAATATTTATGTAAAAAGACTATAATTTATATAATAAAAATTATTATTTATGGTAATATTCATTTTTTATTTATCTTGTTGCATTTTAATAATAAAATTTTCTATACTATCATCCTCAAGTCTGGAGCGACGATCAGAAAGTATAAGTTTCGCCTTATTAGCACTAGAGCGCAAGGCAGTATATAATTTTATATACATATTTTTAATATAAGAAAAATTATCAAAAATACTCATTTGTATTTTTCGATTTAAAAAAGCGTCTAGAGGATTTTCTATTATATTAGTATCCTTTATTTCACAAAAATTATCAATGGAGGTCGTTTTTTTGGTTCTAACTAGGTCATCGTTGTCAGCTATTTTAATCATTAGTGTCTGACGACAAAAAATTTGTTGTACCAGAGGATAGGGTTTTAATCATCATGGTAAATGATGGATTATCAACCAATGGCATTGACTAAACTATATCAATTATAAAATCGACAATATCTTTATCAGCAGGTTTCTGAGAAATATTGGCATGTGCAATATTATTAATCAATTTAGCTAGAATTGATGGGTCTTTTTAATGTAGTCTACTTTATAACAAAATTATTAAGATGTTTTTCAATCTCTTTAAAACTGTTATCATTAACATTCTCACAAAATAAAAATATTATTAGAATTTAAAATGACAATTACCTTTAGGTTTTTTTTGAGGTTATAGTTACATGTGAGGATATATTTTTTACAGTTAAAAAAATAAATTTGTAGCCACCTTTTGTTTTTATATTAATTTAAAAATATTTTCAAATTTTGTAAATGGGAAATTTGTATTATTGTTATCAAGAACCATTAATGGCATAATTATCTGACTCACTTACATCGATTTGGATATCTATTAGCGATGACATTTTAAATAATTTACACAAGATGATTTAGGTTAATAATACAAATTGAAGATATAAATATCTGAAATAACAAATAGATATCAAAGTTATTCATCTATCCCATCGAATACCCTTAGATATGACATTACAAACCGATGTCAATATTCGAATCACGATCAACCAAATTTTGATCTTTCTTTTGTGAAAAAAAATAGTAATTGGAGAGATTAAAAATTGGAATTGGCTAAAATATGGCTGAGCAAACTAATTGATTATTAGCCAAAATTGCCCATGATCTAAATTTATCCATTAGTTCAATTTATAGTTTCAAGCGGGAAACTTTCCCTGAATATTAGGACGAACCTTTATCTGATTAAATTTTAAAAAAACGAAGTCGGAATAAAAAAAGACAACACAGAAACTTCTATCGAACATAGCTGAATTGGGTAATGATAACGGATATACCATCCACCACATCTAAGAATAAGCGAGTGGGCTATATCAAAATATACTAAATCAATGAGTTGGAGTCGGAAAAGAGTTGGATAGAACCCGATAGGAGAAAGCTCCAGATGTATTTCAAACAAGATTAAAATTTCTTTTGAACATGTATTCTTCCTGACCGAGACAGGGTTTAACACCAATATTATTTTTCACTATGGATGGGCATCCTTGACAAAAAGGCCACCTGTTAAATTACTTCCCTCCAATGAAAAATCTATATCAGTAATAAGTGAATTGAAAAAATTCAAAATTATAGATGAGACTTTCACTGTCATAAAATTTAATATATACCTCGATGAATTAAATACAATTTTACCATCGAATTCCTTGCCAATAATGGATAATGTTCCTATTCATCAAACGAGGATAATTGTGAAAATTATCCAAATATCATATTTTTACCACTGCCATTAAATCCGATCAAAAAAATTTTCGGAATTCTTAAAAATTAATACCGATCAAATTATCATAAACCAATTAACAGAATAGAAGTTATTGCTACTGATAGTATTTTGATCAGTTATTTTACATATAATTTATCAATTTTTTATTCTCACACCACAAAATTCATTGAAGATGGAATTCGATGCATTCCTTTAAATGATTCAATTTATGATTGATTTGAATTGCATAATATTTTATATACATGGAATATATAAATAATAAATAGTTTTTCTTTTTTTGATGTTTCGAATCATAAATCTAAACAAATATGAATGAACTGAAAACCCTAAATTCGAATTCTTTTTCATGTTTATTAAGAAATTATTCTAATTTCATATCCTGATTTTCCAATCTTTAGATAACTAAATGTAAAATTAAAATATTGAAATACTACTTTAAATTTGAAAAAATTTATAATATATTTTTTAAAAAAGTTATTGTAAAAATAAATTTTTTTTATAGAATTTTTCTTTAATTCTCATTTTTCCACTCACACTTTGTCCAAAACATTTAAAAAAACTGTAACTTATTGAAACTCGGGGGAATTTTTAATATTATATTATATTTTTTTTTTAATATTTTATTTATTTAAAAATAATAAACATGAGATCGTGTGGATATGGATGAAATTTTTTGATGTAATAATGTTTCATTACTCATAGGTTTTAAGAATTTCATATTTTTTCTTGTGAAATTTTCACAATTCTTTAATTTTACATTAAAAATGGAAAAGGTGTGTGCTATATAGTGTTGTTAAAACGCCACGAGTCGCAACCCCGACCCAAAGCTCGGGTCGTTTTATTCGACTCCGACTCAATGTTTGGGTCGTTTTTTTCGACTTCGACCCAAGTTCAAGCCGAAAAAAACGACTTCGACCCAAAATATGGGTCGTTTTTTTCGACTTCGACCCAAGTCCAAGCCGAAAAAAACGACCTCGACCCAAAATATGGGTCGTTTTTTACGACTCCGACTCAAAATTTGGGTTGTATTTTTCGACTCAAACTTGAAATTTGGGTCGTATTTTTCGACTCAAACTTGAAGTTAGGGTCGTATTTTTCGACTCCAACTTGAATTTTGGGTCGTATTTTTCCACTCAAACTTGAAGTTTGGGTCGTATTTTTCGACTCAAACTAGAAGTTTGGGTCGTATTTTTCGACTCCAACTTGAAGTTTAGATCGTATTTTTCAACTCCAACTCAAAGTTTGGGTCGTTTTTCTGACTTAGACTCAAACATCGGGTCGTTTTATTCAATCCGACCCAAAATATGGATCGTTTTTTTTAAAGACGCATTAAAGTTAGGGTTGCTTTTTTTCACCTAACCAAATGATCTAGATCATTTTTTTCGACCAAAAGTCAAATAACATTTAGTAGATATTAATATTATAGGCGGGAAAGTTTCTTAAAGCTTCTTTAAATTATAACGCTCTGGATTAACTATTCCATCATAGTTATTTTTTAAAATTTTTAAGTAAAGATGTACCATAGAAAAGAGCCATTTGTTATGATGGTTATTTATGAACTTTTTTAAATGAAATAGATAAAAATATATATTGTAGACATGTTAAATCAAAATTTCAGTGAAGATGTACCATAGATAAGTGACAATTATCATAATCGCCATTTTTGAACTTTTTTGAGTTTTTTTAAAGCAAATTGCTAAAAATATATATTCTGAACATGTTAAATTAAAAATTCAGTGAGGATGTATCATAGATAGGTGACAATTGTCATAATCGTTATTTTTGAACTTTTTTCAATTTTTTTAAAGGAAATAGCTAAAAATATATATTCTAAACATGTTAAATTTAAAATTCAGTGAGGATGTATCATAGATAGGTGACAATTGTCATAATCGCTATTTTTGAACTTTTTCAAATTTTTTTAAAGGAAATAGCTAAAAATATATATTCTAAACATGTTAAATTTAAAATTCAGTGAGGATGTATCATAGATAGGTGACAATTGTCATAATCATTATTTTTGAACTTTTTCCAATTTTTTTAAAGGAAATAGCTAAAAATATATATTCTAAATATGTTAAATTTAAAATTCAGTGAGGATGTATCATAGAGGTGACAATTGTCATAATTGTTATTTTTGAACTTTTTTTAATTTTTTTAAAGGAAATAGCTAAAAATATATATTCTAAACATGTTAAATTTAAAATTCAGTGAGGATGTATCATAGATAGGTGACAATTGTCATAATCGCTATTTTTGAACTTTTTCAAATTTTTTTAAAGGAAATAGCTAAAAATATATATTCTAAACATTTTAAATTAAAAATTCAGTGAGGATGTATCATAGATAGGTGACAATTGTCATATTCGTTATTTTTGAACCTTTTTTAATTTTTTTAAAGGAAATAGCTAAAAATATATATTCTAAACATGTTAAATTAAAAATTCAGTGAGGATGTATCATAGATAGGTGACAATTGTCATAATCTTTATTTTTGAACTTTTTTCAATCTTTTTAAAGGA